CTGCAACATATAAACAGTTTCAACAAACTGTTTTATTCACGTCAACAGTGTGGCACTACTCAGACACAGACTCATCCGTTTGTCACTCCAGAGACCGGCAGAGGTCATTAGTTATGAGGGAGTTTAGCTGATCTTTGGAGTATTTACTGCTTTTGTTTTGTGTAGTTTTAAGTTAGGTTTGTTAGGGTTTGTCTTATCATCGTAGGCGTGACTATCATTTCTGACCATTATATCATAAAATCTGAGCAGGAAACACATTTGGATATCAGACAGGTTGTTTGATTTTACACATCATAGTCTTCAGCTCTTGGGGAGTGCTACTATCAAGTCTGATAAATAGCCTCATGCGATGTCACTTGTGTCATTTTTTTGGTTTTGTCTGAAGACTACAAGTTTGAAAATAGTAGAAAAAACATAATCTGATGGGTTGGCTTTAGAAAAAACTGAGCTTACCAGACCTCTGCTGCCTGGTCCTCACCTCCTATGTCAGCTGCTACTAGGAAATCACACTGAAATCTATGGCTGAATTATCATGCAAACTGGTTAAAGATGAAAAATTGTCTAATAAAACATAATATCACTGGTTCTACTGCGTCAATATAACTAATTTAATAGATTGTCTACCAAGAGTCTGACAATGTCAAGGTAGTGCAAAAGTAAAGCAGTGGAGTACTCTTTTTTTAACAAGTCAGTTTAGTTTTCTTTATTGAAGTAAAACTGAAAAGTGATGACACCCAAATGAATGTAAAGTTCATTAAACTACAGTACAACTATATTTGTGTGTTGCATGTCACAAGGGACTGCTACATCCTGCAAGGCGAGGGTCACGTGACTGATGGGGGGCTACTGTAGCACTAATACTGATAAGCTAATTTACTAGCATCTTAGCACAGCAAACCTGTGGGCACCCCCTTCTCCCACCACTCACATCCAATCCTCAGTGGGTCCTTACCTGCCAGCCTGCACTTTTTATTCCTGGAAGCCGCATGAAATATGTACAGTTCACTCAAACCCGACATCACACACTCACAGGCAAAGCCTTAAAATCTAACATTCAGTAATATTTAAATAAATGTTTAATAAATTCAAATGAGACTCACCGGCACAAACACTCTCCAACACTTCATCAGTGTTGAGTCTATAAGATGCAATGTCTCCATCACAACCAGCATCCACAAAGAACATAACCTCTTCACCATATGGTAGAAAAATCAGTGGGTGTTGAAACTACTTTATTAACCCATATTTGTAATAGGCGGAGGAAAATATTAATCTGAAAATATTTAAATTGATATACTGTATGCAAAAGTATATATTTTTAGGACCTTAACACTGGGATTACATTTGTTTATTCGCTTATGGTATAAAGTCATATTTTGCATGAAAGGTACTAAGTAAAAGAAAAAGAAACTTCTGCTCTGTATTCTCTTTAAAATAAGTTGATGCCCTGAAAAAGATGTCAGAAGGTTGAAAGCTTGTCTGTCTGTCAGACTGCCCATGCTTCTTGCTCTGTTAAACGTCACCCTTGTCCCATATTCCAGCAGTTACAAGCTACTATGCCCTGAGCTATGACCTTTGACCTCACCATGTTGCTCACATGGCCCCTCACCCTCTAACAGAGCATGAAGCCTCAGAATAATAACATTTGTGGCCTATCTAACTAAACCTGCATTAGTTCTTTGGGTAGAGGCTCTGTAATCACTGGCAGGAAAATAATTTTTCAGAATGGGATTTGGAGTTAACATGACAGGGTTGTCAACAACAAACCTCACATGATGGAGATAAGCTGGGAGGAAATACCTCCCTCCTCTGAAACTCTCTAGTCCCACTGTGCTTATTTTCAGCCCCAGAGGATCAAACATCGTCTGTTGCGGAGGCAACAGCTGAAACGTTTCGAAACACCCCTCCAACATGCTTCATCGAGACATCAAGGAGAACACTAACATTTGCATTTTCCTCTCCGGAGCTTGCTGACTCTGCCAACCCCTTCTACTGTGTGTGTTACTGTGGGATAATGCCCAGGAAGATGTTAGGAATTCATGAGAAAAACAGCTTCTAACTAAACAACATGGCACAAGAAACATAAAAAAAACATTTTAATTCCTCATTGCTGTTGGTTTCTGTTGTGGCTTTTGGATTGTTTCTTATTTCTTTTGTAATTAAACTATTGATAAATACATACTGGACCTAAAATTAAGTCCCTGCCCTAATTTAAAATTTGCAGTGGGACTGGGATAGAAACAGTTTGTATTCCCAGTTATCTGTGGCTAAAAACCTTTAGCTTTGGACTTTAGGTTAAAAACATAAATCAACACAAGTCACTTTTGCTGACTCTTTAGCTTTTTATTTATTGAAAAAATAGTGGTTTGCAGTTTTGCACTATGTTTCAAGTTCACACCTGTTTGCATAAACTTCCATAACAAGTTATCCAACTGAAAAATCCTCAGTTTGCATGAGAAAAACTTCAGTAAACATATTAACAGACCCTGCACGGCTTTCACAGGACACCGTTTGCTTTTAGTTATTCAGTTGGTGAAACACAAAATCAAAGACAAAGAAAGATGTGAGCCCAAATCCACTGAGTCGAAACGCTGTGAAGTGTCATCCGTTTCCTCTACCTCATCTATATTTAGATCTTCATTTCATACACCTGAATTTCTCACTGGTGCTCCATCTTAACCTGATTGCTTTTGGCTCATACAGAACTTGAGCTTGTCTCTTTTCATATCAGTGCATTTCAGTACAGTTTTAGTCATGCATTACTTAGACAGTGTTCCTTGGCAAAGCTCCAAATGTGATTAAAACTAATTGCGAGTAATATGATGGATCTGCAGCAGATTGGCACTGTCGACATAAACCTAACACGTGTATATGGTCATATGTACATGAGCTCTGAAGCAGCCAAGGGGCAGTCTGGTAAAGGAATTAAGAGAGGATCAGAACTGTCAGGACCCACAGCTGGGCAGCTCTAAAACTACATGCACACACAAACATGCAAGTCTCCCTGCGCACACTGTAGATGTTAAATGCACACACACTGCAACTCTTTCATCTGTTCTGATATGTATTCTGTGAGCATAAACAAATGTCAAAAATCCAAATAGAAAAATGTTTTCAGTAATGAAATCTCCATATGCAGCTCCCGTTGTCTTGCTGCAAGGCCTTTCTGTTAATTTCTTGCATCTTGGATGATGATGACAAAGGAGAATAGACAGATATTCCAATTCCATCTCATACACAAATATACATAACACACAAACACATAAAGTACACACAGCCCCCTGAGGCTGGCTGCTTGGCCTGTACACAGGGAGCAGTGCACGTACGGGTTACTAGTCAAAATGAATCGAACTTTCAAGGTTTTCAGTATGCAGCACATGTGCCTATATGGCCATTACAGGTCAGGCAAGCTGCTGAATGATTGGTATCAAGTGGAAGTAAAGCATTTTTAAAAATCCTCCCATTGTTGTAGGCTTTATTTAGCTGATCATATCATAGAATGGTTTGTCTGATATTGTTGGTTTTTATTAGTATATTATTTTTTGAGTGATTAAACTTCAGTTCACCAACACATTTCTTGCCTGTTATACAAACAGTTGATCATATTTAATTTAATTTTATGATATAATAGATCATATAACATTAAAAAAATCCATTGATTATATCAAAAACCATGTGTGCTGTAAGGTATGAGTTTAATACTGAACGGTGTCGGGAGCAAACACATACAGCTAATGCAACACGATGGTTAGTCCTGTTGCCTCACAGCAAGAAGGTTCCAGGTTTGAGCCTGGGTCAACCCGAGGCCTTCCTGTGCAGAGTTTACAAGTTCTCCCTGTGCCTGTGTGGGTTCTCTCCAGGTTGTCCCTGCCATTGTCCAAAGACATGCAGCTTAGGTTGACTGGTGACTAAATTGTCCGTATGAGTGTGGGTGGTTGTTTGCCTACATGTCAGCCCTGTCATAGACTGGCGACCCGTCCAGGGTGGACCCTGCCTCTCACCCAATGTCAGCTGGGATTGGCTCCAGCAAGCAAGTGCAAGGATCAGGCTTTGTGAAATGAAAATAGAAGTAATACCAGCTCTTGCCTCCCTACAACCTCTACCTGAGTATGATGAATGAGAAGACACTGGGGCCTAACACAGACAATGACAGACTTGCAGGCCAAACCTCAGCACCCTGATACCTGTGTGCACCCTGAGTCACTTTCAAATAGAAAAGGTGGCCTCACTTATTATTTTCAGTTTCAGTTTGAAATTGATATATGATTGCAGGAGGAAATGGGAAAATCTTCAGTCAACCATGACCTTTTCTCCATTCATTGTAAACTGACTCATCGTGAGTATGAAGGGAGCCTGCAGCATAAAATTGATTTGAAAGATACATGTTTAAGCGATGGAATAAGGTTGAGTTCAAATAAAAACATTTTGTCCCAGACTGTTTGAGATATTTCATTATAACCATTGTCGGGTTACAGGAGGAAAGATTAGTGTGACAAGTGTTTTTATTTTAGTAACATAAATACGACTTTCCACTGGACTGCTAATAGATAAATGTGCAGTTTCTACACAACCAGGAGCCACAGATATTTTCCCCTGCTATACTTACTGAACCACTGAAGACAACCTAATGGAAAGCTTTTGGCTGTGATACTGCTGCCTTCCCAGAAGTGTTACTGGTAGCAATGCCTTTATTTACATAACTGTGATAACTTAACTTGACCAAATAATATTCATTTGGTTAGGATGTGGCAACACTACTCCACATTTAGTAAGAACAGTTCCAGAAGACATGGCTGTCTTTTTGTTTATCTTCTAGATTGTTGATGTATAAACACATAATATGTCAGTGCTCCAGTATATCAACCATATGTATTTAAAAAAGTTTATAGGACAAAACTATCTGCTATTCTTTATTTTACTCTGACTTTTTACTTTGCTCCTCTCTCTCTCTTCCTTTTCACCTTCTCCTCTCCTCTCCCCCCTCCCCTTTCTTTCAGCAGTGTCCCAGTGTGTTCTGGCACTGGGATGCGGACCACACTATGAAAACCTAATTGAAGAAATCTGCCTGGCCAAATTCAGGGAGGACATGCAAGAGCTGGATCAGAGACACTGGTGTAGCTGGGAAGACACAGTCGAGTGAGTAGGATACAGAAAGAGAGAGACATCCAAACACAAACAGATTTGCAATCACACAAATACAAACCACACGTGAGCTCTCCATTTTAAATTTGCATGAGATTATTGCAGAGTCATCGTCTTTGTTAATTTTAATGTGGTAAGGACATGAAATGCCTAAAATGCTATTGTAATGTGTTCCCTAAAAGCCTATAGCACAGAGATCTCCAAACTTATCTTTATTCACCATTTTTAATACTGTGTAAGACAACACAATGATTTCATTTCAGTTTTGTTTGTGTCCAGCTGGAGGTCTATATAATTGTCCAACTTTTTGATGACTTTCCAACAGCCGATTAGTTCCTGGGTGAGTGGGCACATAGAAAGAGTGAGTGGGAAAATGGAGAGGGCTGAGGGGGATATCCAGAGACAGTTAGTGTCAACAACAGAAGCTGTATGAACAAATATTATCATTGTAAAAGGAATCTGATTGCCAGAAGTTTTCAAAATTGCTTTTACAATTTGAGAATCAGATCCTAGAATGAAGCAGTACATTTAAATGGCAGAAATATTATTTACCACCTAACTATCAATTTAAATATGACTGTTTTGTTTTAAAACCTTATTCTGAAATGTAGGGTTTATAGTTATAATATCATGCTGCTTATTTTATTTATCAAATTCAGTGACCTTGTATCCCCAGTTCAACTGCTCTCAGATAGATCTGACCTTTGACCAGATTGTTCTGCTCTCATGAGCAGTGCCAACTGCTGCTTATAGCTTTGGGCCTGAGACATGGATGGATTATGAAACAATAAGCCCAACCCCTCCTACAAAAGAGCAAGAGTCACTCATTTAGTCTCTTTGTGGTAGTTATGTCACTCATTTTGGTTATTTCATTTCTCTTTGTCTATTTTGTGTCTTTTCGCGGTTGTTTTGCGTCATGATGACTACGCCCCCTCAGTAATCCCACCTGAGTCAGCTTATGTACTGTATGTTGTAGTAGGTTTGTAAAACCCAAGCTGCATGGTTTATTTGGGTAAAGAAATGTAGTTCTTGCCTCATGCTAGGCCTTTAAAAGGCCGCCAACCAGTATTTTAAACCAGCTAGTTAAAATACAAAGAGCTTCCACTTACTTTCAAGTGGATGAAGTCCTACCTAACAGACGGTGCCCATTGTGTTTAGATGAATAATGGCTTGGCTTGTCATTGGCAAAAACCTGAACCATAAGGATGACAGATAGCTTTGTTTTTCAATATGTAAATCTTTAATTTACAGGGAAACTGATGAATTGATGCTTTGTGCTCCGGTGGCAGATACTGAGCAAGAAGATGCTGACAGGAAGATGTGACAAACAGTGAAGAAGGTTGTAGTGTTTCTGACTTACCAACCCTGTTTCCTAAATTAATTTGGAACCTATTTGTGACTGGATTACATAATGAAGATATGTTGTTAATTTACATAGTTGTCAGGTCCCAAACATGTTGATACTGAATGTATCAGTTTATCAAAGTGTTTTTGTTGCCTAATCCTAGACACAGGCAGGACTGTGGATGCCTTGTTGTCACAGGTGTGCACTATGTATGCCCACCACCTCAGCCACCTCCTGGCAACTCCATGGACAGGTGGTGGCAGCGGAAGCATAATACGTATCTACAGTAGGAGACAGGGTTTGAATTACAAAGTATTATTAATGAGATTAAAGTAGAATCCATAATTTAAGTGTAAATTAAAGGGTCCCCACAGCGCCTCAAGTTTGATCCTGCTATCATGCTAATGGTATTTTAATGAAGCAAAATTATTACAAGATTTATCTGAGTGTAATTAAGTTTTCTAATTAACATGTACTGATTTCAGACAAGCAAGAAAGCCTTGAAACCAATTGGACTTGAAGCAGAAAATAAAGACTGTACTTAGCAAAAATAACATTCTGAGGTTTGGCAGCTGACGTTAAAGTAAATGTCTGTCTGGTGTTTAGAATAACTTGCCAAACTGCTCCTCTACAGTTCAAAACCTTTGTTCAGCCATGCTCTGTGCCAATGTACCAAGCTTATAATACGGCTTCTGGTTCTCCATTCAATCCATTCAAGTCCATTAAATATGGAATACTCTTCCTGATAATCTGAAAACTCAAATAATAGATTTCAGTGTATTTGCTCCTTCCTTCCTCCTGCTCTCACTGCTTTACAGTAAAGTTTTGTTCATGATCACTGACAGTTAAATGCAAATAATATCTAAGCAGAGTGTTTTGTGTATTTTGCTCAGAATTGTCACAAACCCCATCACATGACACTCAAAGCAGGAAAAAAAACCCAGTGAATGAAAGATTGAAATGTCAAAAATGGTTTCAGTGAGTAGGGAAGGTCAGCGTTCAGGACAGTTGCTTCCCCTTTGAGGAAACTACTCTGCACCCTGGCCAAGATTTCTAATTCAGTTCAAATGACATTTGGTGTGTGTGTGTATGTATCAGGACTCTGGACAAGAGTCCCTCCCTACCTCTCAGTGTATCTAGGCTGTCACAAAATGGCAGTTCCTTAGCTCTCTCGTCTCTTCCCCTCCTCGGCTGTCACCCAGTGCTGTCACATTAGCATGAGTTTATAAACCACTCCCACCCCCTAAAACACTTAGACAGTTGAGCTACTGCATAGCGCAATGTTGTCACGCAAGTGAAAGACAGTGATAAAACTGAAATGTGAACCACAATTGCGCTATGCAGTAGCTCAACTGTCTGTCACGCAAGTGAAAGACAGTGATCAAACTGAAATGTGAACCACGTGAGTGCAAGAATAAGAATGATAAAGCCATTTGTGTGACAGTCAAATAGCACAATCTCCTCAAAAACCACTCAAAAAAGTTCAGATAAAGCTCTTTGTTGTTTTCAATGCACTTCTACATTTAAATATTTTGATTTCTTAAATACACATTTCTCCTATGTGCTTCTGTGCAGCCCCATCTGTTCTGTTGAACTGTTGCTCATTGTCAGTGCAATACAAATTATTAAAGGCATGTAGAATGTATCCAAATACATTCTATCTCCTTCCATTATACTTTACAAGCTTTCAGGAAAAGGCTCAAGTGCCAAGGTAACTGTGCATGACTGCCTTTCTTCTTCATTAAAACATATTTAAATGAAATAGCTTGTCAAAGACGGGGACAGTCATCTTTGAAACTACACCACCATGTGCCTTGTTATTCCTTTTTACTCACAGTTACACACAATGTTTTGTTCTATGTCCTTTACTGCCTACTGTACTTTTTCATTTGCTTTGCTTTATCATCTTCTTTATGCCCTACTGACACAGATGATAATACTAAGATGCTACATGTTTATCTGGCCCCTTTCAATTATGTGACATCCTTAATCTCCCCAGGTCCCTCTAGCAGTTACTGTTATTGCACAATGTCTCATGGCACACTTTGTTTGACTGTCAATATATTAGTGTCCACATCAAATCCCAGCATGCAACTGGAAAAAGCAACTAACATGTGTTACACAGGTCACCACACCATTATTCACCATTCAATAGGGGACCGCCTCAGCCCGATTCAGAAGGGATTGTAAGTTAGAAATGTTTCTAGACTAGGAGGAAACACAATAATATCAAGAAATGAAATTTCCCCTTTAACTTGCGGGTGAAGGAAAATATGTTTCATTCAGTTATATTTCATTTGATTGTTTACCTCCATCCTTGTTCTACTGTGACATGTCAAAATGTTTTCTGTGAAAAATGTCACCAATAGCTATTTGAATTATCTGAAGGCATTTTCTTATTGCCAGCTGTCACACACTGAAACACACTGACAAAGGAGATCAGAGTAGCAAAGAGGAGCCATTCTGAAAGGCTGAAAAATCAGTGTCGGGCCAATGAGCCGTCGTCAGTATGGAGGAGCCTACAGAACATCACTGGGTACAGGAGACCACCCACCCCCACTGTGGAGAGCCATGAATTGGCTGATGAGCTGAATGAGTTTTATTGTAGGTCTGAGAGGCAGAACTCTATACTCCTCTCTCAACTCATCTTGGACCTGTAACCAGTAGCTGCTTCCTGTAGGACTACCTCTCCCCCCATCAGCCCACCTCCACTGAGGAGCTGTGAAAGGGATGTGCGTTGCCTTTTTAGGAAACTAAAGATCAGTAAGGCGCCAGGCCCCGACAATGTGACCCCCTCCTGTCTGAAAGCCTGTGCTGACCAATTGGCTCCCATCTTCACGCAGATCTTCAATAGATCACTGGAGCTTTGTGAAGTTCCCTCCTGTTTTAAACGCTCCACCATCATCCCAGTTCCCAAGAAACCCTCCATCAGGGAACTGAATGACTACAGGCCTGTCGCTCTGACATCTGTAGTCATGAAGTGTTTTTAGAGACTGGTATTGGCCCACCTGAAGGAAATCACAGACCCCTGCTTGGATTCCCTGCAGTTTGCTTACCGAACAAACAGGTCAGTGGATGATGCAGTGAACATGAACATGGCACTGCATTACATCCTGCAACACCTCGACTCCCCGGGGACCTATGCAAGGGCCCTCTTTGTGGACTTCAGCTCGGTGTTCAACACCATCATCCCGAACATCCTCCACTCCAAACTGACCCAGCTCACTGTGCCTGCCTCCACCTGTCAGTGGATTACTAGCTTTCTGATGGACAGGAAGCTCTATCAGCACAGGTGTCCCCCAGGGATGTGTGCTCTCCCCACTGTTGTTCTCCCTCTACCCCAATGACTGCACCTCAGGAGACCCCTGAAGTTTGCAGTCATCAGCCTTATTCAAGACCAAACTGGCATCTGAGTCTTTATTTTGATCAATAAATACAGACATCTTGGTCCTAAATTCAGTATTGAAAGCTACTTGTACCAAAAGTATTAGAACTTGAACTTTTTTATATATTATTCCTATATTCAATTTCTTTCGTATGTAAATGAGGTGCTGGCTCTGTCAATATAGGTGCCAGTCACAATTTGAGAGGTACTATATCTGGATCTGGCTTGTTCCAGCAAAAATTATTCCCTGGTGACGTAATGTAA